ACCGACGTATGCACACACACGTAAAGCGGCCGACTCTCGAGGGAAATGTGCGATGTGCAATTGCAAACGCGACGTTTCATGTGAGTGTGTCATACGGAAAAGCTGAAACGTCGACTTGCTACGATATACCATATTCCTGACACTTATATTGTGTCGAGCCGCGAACAAATTAACTTTCCTATCGTAGGGTGTACGTTGGTCAAAGGCGTTTCGGCACCTTTGACCTGCAGCTGTACTTTGTTTTATCGATATTGCATATCTACCACGGATATCCTTTAGATATAGGAGCTCGATCGATTATACGCGACCCACGCACCGAATGGAAATTTTAAATATAGTAACGCGTATCGCTTTTCCTTCGATTAAATTTAATTATCGCACACGTAGAGCGCGACGCATAAATAATAAAACCGTGTATCGATCGCCAACGCGAAGCAGGTGGTAATTTCAAGAAATACGTATATATCTCGTACGTACACGTACACACACACACATACATTACATCGTGTCCGGGTAGGGGGGCATGGCAAACCGACTGTGAAAGACCCGAGATTTGTGCCTACACGACGTATTAAGGCTTAATGGTCCCTTCGTTGCTGCACTGCTGTTTCTGCTGCTGCTCGAGTCGGCTAGGCTCGCGCGCGCGGCCACTTGTTCTTGCGCGCAGGCAGGCGGCATGAATTTATCATTCCAACTTGGAGATTACTTATGCTAAATGTGCCTCCACTAATCTTGGAGCGGGCCGTACACGTTGTACACTGCGTGTTTCCTTCCAAGATTAAGCGCATACAAGCCTCGCTGATTAATTGTAAAAACGGAACGCTTTGACAATGTCTATTTTACGCTAATTCGTGCAAACTTTTATAGGCAACTTTGACTTTTACAGTCCATAATTTACTGTAAATTAATCAAAATACCGAAATCAGCTTTGATTTTTATACAATTATTTTAACTTTGCCACTTGCAGATTTACAGAAAAAAGGTACTTGCCATCTAGTGGTGAAGTCTTAAAGTGGTATTCGATAATTTCTAAATTTTTCATTATTCACAACTGGAAAATCGATAACCGTTCAATAAATGTCGACTACTCTAGTATATTGCCGTGGTTACCACGCTAGTATATACAAGTATATTGTCTTTGACACTTGCAGGTTTACAAATAATGGTACTCGACATCTAGTGGCAGAGATTCAAAGTAATATTACCGTATTTAACATAATTGAAAAATGATCTAAATTTTTCGAAACGATTGAATTACCATTTTCAGGTTACTTAAAATATACTTAATACATATAACATAATTTCAACTGAAAAATCTTTAAATAAAAGTCAAATGATGTTTACGTATTTTAGGCTGTTGCTAATATTGGACATGTCTACTAGGTAATGTCAAGATTTTTCTTCTTATTTTTACTCCGAGTTTGATTATCGTCCTGATTATATTCTAAATTCTCGCAATATGTAAATTAATTGAAAAACGTCGACTTATTCCCAAAGTGAATCGAATCTCTCGTCCATAACGAGCAACGATGTTGTGCGAGTTTTCATGATTTATCATATTAAAACTACGCGGGCTGCGAGCAAAGCGCTAAACTTTGTTACAACAAATATCGCAGCAAGTAAAGGAAAAGTAGCGGATGTTCTTTTTTTTCTCTCGAGTTGCGATTGCTTCGGTGAAAAAAAAGTTCATCATCATCGACTCGAGTTCTTTCGCGAAGATGCTGCGTGAAGTGTATATATCGTACGGCGAAAGGATCGACATCGAGTTCAACTACCAACGCGTATACGCGTTTACGTTGCGAAGTTTGCCCGCGTTTGGCCTTCTCGGAGTCAGGCAGCTCGCAGTTTTGGTTCAGTGTGCGTGCATTGGCTGAACCATTGGATATTCATCACCGATCGACAATGAATTTTCAATCATCGCAACGTATACGCGTAACGAACAACACCAGCAGTGGCAGCACAAACGCCTAAATCCGATGATTAATCGATCGTAGTATCGTCGCGCGGCAAAGTGATCCCAACATATATAATAATACGTATACATATACATGTGGCCGCGCGTCGATATATCGATTAATCGTCAAGCTCGAGCGCTGATATCTTTGCGGTATATGTGTGAGTGTGTGTGTGTGTGTGTGTGCCGAGCATTTGTCCCTCGCAGTTTTCGGTCGTGATTTATTACCTCTACTGCAGCAAACGCGCGAGTAAACGTACACGCGTCTACGTCTATACGCGAGTGCACTGTAAAAGCTTCGCGCGCGGCTTGATCGTACAGCGTATAACTCGACTCGATCCGAATGCGGCTGTATATACCTATAGATACGCTTTATACGATTCATCAAATCGCATTAGATCAAAGACCTTCGCTCGCGTCTCTCTCTGTATAAGCAAAACTTGACTCTCGACTCTCGCGCGCGCGCGCGGCGGTTATACTTCGACGAACTTTGTATCGTAAACATTGTACTTTCGAGTAAAGCAAAGCACATAGCTTTGTATTTCTGCGTACGACCCCGCTATGGCGCCGAACTCAAAGCGATCTCACCTTGCTCGGCAAAGAATATATTATGTCCGCAATTCATCCGATCGTCTTTGCTGAATCGCAAAATGTACAATGTTTAAGAATAAATATCTAGCATCCACTGCGGCGAGCGTCAGCGATATCCTCGCCGGAGTCGAGTATATAGGGTAGTAGTCCGCGTGGCCATTCGCAAAAGGAGAAACTTTAATGAAGAGAAGGCGGCGCGCGTCTTATACTCGGCCCGCGTCTTAGCCGCGTCTGCTGCACAGACTGCAGACTCTGCAGTTGCACTTGTATATATAATATATAATACACTAACCACCAAGTTTTAATTGAATTACAAGCTGCGCGCGAGCTGCGCCACGTTTTCTACGCATCTACAGATATATATTTATTACAAGAACATTATGCAGCGCGTACACAATAATTTATCATATAAGGCACCACCACCAGGCAGTGTACTTATGTGCTGTGTATTGCCGAGGGTGCCAGGCGGTCAAGCCACGCGCGCTGGATCGACTCGGAGCTTACATAATGGCAAATAGCGCGCGTCACGTCGAGACTTAATACTTACGCGCCGGTGTATATAACAACGTAAGCTTGTTTATTTTTTTTTTTCCTTTCTTTCTTCCTTTCGTTTCTCCCTTGCGGTGCTACTACCTTATTACGGAGTATGGATTTTGCGAAGCCTCGCTAGTCATCCTAGTATATGATAGACCTGTGCACAACTTGTCGTACGATGAAATCTCCGAGGAAAAATTCTTGCGCGAATAATTATTCGCTCGTGCGATCCTTGCGAGCTTATTGAATTTGTCGGGCTTGATTGGTCGAGACGAGAGTGGCGCGCGACAACAGATGCTATCGATAGTCTAGGATTCGTCAGTTAATATAATATAGAAGGGACGAAATCGAGAGATCTGAGCGTAACTCGAGTTCGATGTGGAAAAGTGACGAGAGTGTCGATAATGCGAAAGTTCATTTGACGAAAGCGTATATTGAGAGAGAGAACGAGAGATTTGCCTCGAAGGTCGAGCGACCATCAATTTCTGATCTTCGCGTAGAGAGCGAGTACACAATCGTATACGTTTACAAGCGCGCACGTGCCCTTTTCTTTAATAAAAAAATATATGAACCAGCTTCCGATCGAGGTCCTCTCCGACCTTATACACAATGAAATCGTTTCTTATACATAAAGAATGTCGCAATATTCAGCGCATAGGTATACGCAGTATAGATGGATCCACGGGGACGCATCTGCACTGCACCATTGTATTCTTCGGATAGAGATGGGTGGTGTGTGATATTCCTAGGATGTGTATCTCGTCGTCGTCGCGCGCGAGCTTTGGCCCCGATTCGCTGCAACTGCAATATCGAGAGCTGTAGCATAGCAGCAGCAGCAGCAAAAAAAACGAGGCAAAACTATACACCGAACGCTGTACTGCATCGAAAAAGTTGATAGACTCCGGGCGTCGAGACTGTGCGCGATTTAACCGTGAAAAACGCCACTCGTGAGAATATCGTCGACGCGGCGATGTATAGGATCCAGCAGCTCGCAGCGCGAAACTTTTCTATACGGTATCTGATTTATAACGGGCCATATACGTGGTATATATATTATACACTTCGGGGACATCCCGTTTGACGCGTGTGTGTAATTCGCAGCGACGAGTCGCGAGCTGAAGGAAGAAAAATAAAAATAAAAGTATAGAAACGCGCGAGCTAAACAGATGAGAAAAATACAACAGTAGCGCAATGTGTAATGTGCGCCCCGCGTGGCGGTGAAATTTCGTTTGGCGAGGCTCGAGCGCGGTCAGTGCAGACTGCACAGTGCACACTGCACACAGCGTAGAGCTGCCAAGAGAAAGAGAGCAAAAGGATCGAGAAACGGAACTATCTCTCGGTTACACGCGTGTGCACCACTGGCTGCACTTTTCGCGCACGCGGCGCTGTTTGTATTGCGCGCCGAGGCTGACACGAGCATTCCCAGTTTTAAGTGCTTTCCGGCCTGGAGGGCTTGGATCTGCCTCGTTTGATAGTGCGGCGCATATATGAGCGATTCTACGAAAAATTGGCCGCATTTGGCCTCCAAAGAGTCTAAATATTTTTAGATACTTTAATATACGCATACGATGGTTTGCAGGTATACTGCTTGGGGTATCAGTAACAGAAAAAGTAGTGTCTAAAAAAATCCAAGTTTTTTAGATAACTGTGTATACATGAACGAAATCGGCGGTAGAGGGGGAAAGTTTTGCCCGAGAGTCATAGCACGAGGTGCCAGATAACCTTGCTAACAGATACGACCGATGTGTACACTCGTTAGTGTGAAAGTGAATTCTTTGGTGAGCGAGTTATTTAACAAATAATAGCCGTAAAGATTAAGTCGAGGTATAGTGATGGATACTACTAGTGTTTAGCCTCAAATATTTTCTCGGTTTACCTCTACCTAAAATCGAAGAACAGTGTAGGCTTCTCGAGGCACAATATTTTCTTGGTGTTTATTGTACAAAATTCACTGAGTACATACAATCATGGAGGTTATGGCAAACAACAGTAATGTAGTTAGGTATGATTTTTACTTCTTGTACTGCAGAGATAATTTTTTGAGCAATTTCTTTTTGTGTTCGATTTTTTTGTTAGGGTAAAGGAAGAGCCGAGTGATACTTGGTCGAATGCAGGTGACGATTACGTTTTCGATTTTGTGGACTCTTGCAAAGCCGAAAATTTGGAAACTTCACCATTTCATAAATTATCAGTGAGTTCAGTTATTCGAATCATGTTCTGTTGATCAATATAGAAACTTACCATTTTCTTTATAGAGAAAACACAAAAATGAAGCTGCAGCGATAAACGAAAAGTTAGATAACAAAATATTCATAGGATTTGAATGCAAATATGTAAAACCTGATCTACCGACAACCATCTGCAAAACTGAGTATCCAAATTCTCAACCCATTGTGAATACAGAAAACCAAATTAATTCCAAATATTCGGACGATAAGGAAATGATAATTTTGATTAAAAAAGGATTCGATTATCATAATGATTGTCAATTTCAAATCAAACTATCTCATAAGTATAATTTGTGTCGAAAAACGTTTAAACGAAAAACGAATCTAAAAACACATATAAATGCGACTATTACAAACATTGGACCACGTGAATGTGAGATTTGTCATAAATCATTCAGATATCAAAGTAATCTCAAATATCACGTACGTGCAGTACATGATCGTATCAAACTCTACGAATGTGTAATTTGTCACAAATCATTTTCATTCAAGAGCAATCTCAATACACACGTTAGTACAGTACATGATCATAACAAACCCTTCGAATGTGAAATTTGTCACAAATCATTTGGATACAAGTGTGATCTCAACAAACACATAAATGCAGTACATGACCGCAGTAAACCCTTCGAGTGTGATGTCTGTAACAAATCATTTGGTTACAAGGATGATCTCAAGAAACACATAAATACAGTACACGATCGGAGCAAACCTTTTGAATGTAATATTTGTCACAAATCATTTGGATACCAGTATAAACTCAAAAGGCACATAAATGCGGTACATAATCGAAGAAAACCCTTCGAGTGTAATATTTGTCATAAGTCATATAGCCGCAAGGATTATCTCAAAACTCACGCGAATGCAGTACATAATCAGAGTAAACCTTTTGAATGTGAGATTTGTCACAAATCATTTGGGGATAAAAGTAATTTCAACAGGCATATACATGGAGTGCATGATCGGAGCAAACCCTTTGAATGTACAATTTGACACAAATCATATAGCTACAAAGGTACTATTATAACTCACATCGATGCACTACATGTTCGCACCAATTCCTTTAAATGTGACATTTGTCTCAAAACATGTGGATATAAACACTGCCTTAAAAGTCATGTCAATACAGTACATAATCATGCCAGACCCTTTGAGTGTGACATTTGTCACAGAAAATTTGGATAAAAACATCATCTCAATTCTCAAGTCAATATTGTACATGATCACAGCCAGTCTTTCTAGGATTGGCCGCAAAGTAATCTCAAAAGTTCACATAAATAAATAAATTTCAAGATCGTAGTAAATCTTGTCGTGAATAATCTCATTTTTTCAGACACCTTTGGATATAATAAATTTGCAGTCTTATAAAAATACTTATATATTCATATAAAAATATTTATATATTCATATAAAAATACATGTCTTCCAATTTTTTCATATAATAATTCCAGTGTTATCAACTTTTAAGCATTCCATCTATTTATTTCAACCTTTCACCGAGTACCCATTATGACGGTATAAAACCCTTTCAATCGAGCTTCTAAAACCAGAATTATTTCTAAACTTGGTGCCCTGTGCATCGACTCATCGTTTTTCGATGTTATTATGAGAGGACTATAGGGTGGGTTGTACAGTTAGCAAATTTTTGTAAGAATAACTTTTTAATATCATAAATGGCAAACATCGAAAGAGTCATATTTTAAAAGAGAATGCGATTTTCACCCTCCGAGAATATCAATGTTCAAAATATCTATCAAATTTTGTGTTGTTCACGCGTTTCTAGGAGCTCGATGAACAAATTATCATCATCCATTACACGCATCGAGTTGAAAAAAAATTTCAAGCGCGATTTTAAACTCGAATTCCGCCTAGATAATTCGTAGAATGGCTCATATACGTGCGGAGATACATTAGTAGCGGTGGCGGCCTAGCAAGTGCATATACACTCTACGATGTGCAAGGGCTGTGCTTCAAAGTTATCCAAAAGTGACCCCGTGTGTGTATGTGTGCGACAAAGTTGCTGCACACACATATACTGAGCGCGGCAAACATCGAGAAATTCACCCTCGAGGCGCGCTTGCATTTATATACACAAAGTCGATAGATGAAAACTTGCTGCTGCGACTGCTGCTACTGCTGCTGCTGCTGTGTCCTCTGCATGCGTGGGACCGTGTATACGTACCTAACTTTGTACTGCTTTCGCCTTCTCTCTCTCTTTATATGCAAGTACCTAATATTCTTGGTGTGTGTGAATATGTATACAGAGTGTGTGCCTACGAGCTATAAAAGCACTAAAACGTCAAGATCTTGTACCCGTAAATGTGTCTGTGCGCGAAAGCTCGCGCATACATACACGTGCAATGTTCGCCAAATTTAATTTACAATTCAATGCAAATGTTTAAAAATACGAATTTTAACGCGCGCGAAACTAGGATGCTTCAAAGATTATATTTTTTTACGAAAAAAAAGTAACGCGCGTGTAAGCTCTAAATGCGATGCGGTGTGATGAAAGTATACTGAAAAAACACGCGAGACTCAACGCCAACAACGGGCGTGAAAAATCCTGTAGGTGAGATTTAAAGAAAATAATGCTCGTGAGTGGCTTGATATATTTATAAGAGAGAAAATTTTTACTCGGATAGAAAAATAATTACGCAAAAAAACATGTTACTTCAAAATTACGCTGCATTACGCAATTATGAAATACGAGCAAACGGAGCTTTAATGAATAACGAAGTCGAGTTTTAAATTTCATTGACTTATATTATACGCACTCCAGAAGCGCGCGCGAGCATGGTCGGCGAGCTTGCGCGAATAATATTTATAACAACATTATTATTCCGTAACTCTTGACGCTCGATGAAAAATTTTCAGCGAGCGACTGCTGCTGCTGCTGACTCTCGCGTAAGGAACGCGAGGCACCGGTGAATTTTTGAGATATGCCTCGGCTATAAAATCCGACTAATGCACACTGAGATGGAAGCTAGCTCGAAGACAGGAAGAGCAAGAAAAAAAAGTATACAATATCTGACTTGGGAATGATCTCGAAAGCTCGCTTACGGAACATAATGCGTCATAACGAAGGAGTAGCGAATCCTGCGCGTTGATACGTACGCGTACAGTGCAGCAGATGATGTATAGTGCTCGAGCGAGGGTACGCTGTGCGCTATCTCGGTACACTGCCGCGTTGCTTCGTGCGTCGGTAACATTAGCGTCAAATTTTTGCCGTGCGTTTAGTCAGCAATAAACGGCCTCGCAGGCTCTCTCGTCGGATAGACGAGATTTATATATTACGCGCCATAAGTTTGAAGGAGATTTTATAAAAATTTGAGCACAAGAACTAACAATTATAACCATGTTTTGACGTATATACACTTATATTAACTTTATTACTTGCGGATTATATAGATAAAGGTACTGGCCATCTAGTGACGGATGCTTGAAGAGATATTATAGTATTTACAGTGTTTGAAAATTAGTCTAAATTTTTTGAAAAAGTTATTTTGTAATTCTCCAGTCATTGAAAAAACGCTTAAATCTTTAACATAATTTTTACAAAAAAATCGCCAAAAGCAAGCCAATAAATATTCGTGTGTTTTAAAAAAAGTTCGAACGGTCATATTTTTTTACCTTTTGGACACTATTAACAATGAGCATTGTTACCGGGAATGGCATTAAATTATCCCTCGTGACTATATAACATTTTCAATCGATTCACTTTACCGGTTAATATTAAAGCAAAGAATGGCCGCTTGAACGATAAAATCGAATCGTCGCGAAATGGAAATTATTCGTTCACAAAGAAGAAATTTCATAGCTTTTTACTGATCGGCACTGGTTCATGTATATAGAAAAACGAGTCTCGTTCATCGCTTAGCGAGCGCTCGTTCAGGATTCGAAGGCTCGAAATAGAGATTCGGAAAAATAGTCTGGCGAAGAAAGTGCGTGTATACATATAACATTGGCGCGACTCGAGTGTCTCGAGATCGATTCGTCCAAATACACACGGACTCCTAGTCTGGGCAGCGCGTCTACGAGGATGTATTTTTGCGAAAAATCTCGTCTCCCCCCTCGAGGAAACGGATCTCAAACGACGCGTCGTCGATGATGGCTTGGTATACTCTTAGGAAAATAAAAGCTCGAGCGCTAATCGAGTTAGTTAACGAAATCGACCTTGCTACCACTTCTTTCCTTCCTTTTTTATTTGGCCAGCTCTCCTTGGCTTTGCTTTCTGATTGTTCTTTTTTATTTTTGGCCTCTTAATGGACGTCATTGTTCTAGAATACAAAGTGTCGGATACAGTGATTGCGTACACTCGCTCGCACACACTCAGACTCGCACGATGTGCGCGCGAGCGGCAAATCCTCGAAAGGTCCTCCCGCAAAATCATCTAAAAGCTGCCCGTCTTCTTTTTGTCGTGCGCGCGCGAACGAACAGATATAGCGTACTACGTCCTATACAGAAAACGAGGTGGGTTTTACCCGAGCAACGTCGTATTCCTTTTTGTCCCCTGCAGATAGCGACGGCGACGGCGGCGGCGGCGGTGGCAGCTTCCATGGTATATAACACGGCACTGGCAACGCATTGTGTGTGTATACAGTTCTCAGAAAAGATCGAGCTTGAAAGCTCGTGGCGAAAGCAGCAGCAGCAGAGCAGAGCAGGCAAAAGGAAAGGAAGTATATATATCGAAATAAACGGAGCGTTCATCGGCTGCGAATAAGCAATGTATATAATGGTGCAGCCCCCAGATTTATACCTTTTCTCATAATTATATCGGAAAGAGCATTATACGCGAGTAATACATAAATATTGGTAAAACTCTGGGATTCGAAAATTGCAAAGAGCCGTTTCGTGCATTTTGCGTTTCCTTTCCGATCGAACGAGTGTAACGTAGCTTCGATTTTGTGCAGCAGTGTGCGGGAGGGAAAAAAACAGCTCGATCACGCTCGCTCGCGCTATAGACAGATTTATCCGCATCAACGCGATATATCAGCTCTTGTATATTATATAGCTTCGCCAGTGAATCCACGACGTATTACGAGGACGAAAATCACGCTGCTGTATACGAATCATAAATCGTGCATCGGTAAACGTTTTTAACGATTTGCGCCGCGCGCAGATAGGTACGCGAGCGAGAGCTTCTTGGTGCGCGGATATAATATAATCCTCCTTCGTCCCGGACGAGCAGAGCGCGACTTTGCCATTTAAATCTTGCCTCCAGCAGCAGCAGCCGCTGCCACTCGATCGTCCGCTTCTTTCTCTTTTTCTTGAATAAATATTTTTCTGCTGTAACTCGCGCGATTATATATTTCGTACGTACGTACACGTATAAATGTACGGAGGATAAGCCGGAGCGACTCGACTACTGTGCGCCGTATACTCGTTTGGATAAGAGAGTTGAAGTGCTCGCGAAAAAAAGGAAAAAAAACAGAACGAAAGAGAGAAAGAAAAGCCCTAAATATAGCGCACTGAATTGCACGAGGATTTGCGCGAAAAATTTAGATGACGGATTATATTATACGAGTTTTACGCGTATTAAGGAAACAAGGACTGTGGATATTTACGATGAAATTTTTAATTATTATTATCTGCTGTGTGTCGTGCGTGCAGCAGGGTCCGGTCGTTGGGAAAAATTTGTTCTTACTGCCGATGGAGGGTAAAGTACGCAGTACATTCTCGCGTCTTTGCTTACGAGCAATTCGCGCAATTTGTCTTCCCATTGTTTTTTTCCTGCGCCTTTTATTCTCGCTGGACTTCAGCCGAGAAACAGCTGAGAAATTGAACCATAGTTGCTGAGCGAGCGCTCTTCTTTCACGGCCAGCTCCATCTCTGAACTTCTCTCTTTCTCTATTCTCTCATTCGCTACGTCGAATTGAGCCCGATGAAGATATTTTCTTCTTCTACTTCTTCTTCTTGCAGCAGCATCTGTGCAGGCTAACCTAATTTTTCCTACTTTGTTGTTCATAACTACGGTTTATTATTACAGTCGCGCGCGCGCGTGCGACGCTTCTTTCATTTTCTCGTGCTCTACACCACTACATAAGCGAGCGGGGCCAACGTTTTTATTATAGCTTTATATCCGGACTGTTTTTTCGCTTCTCTCTCGGTGGAGCTTGGGCGACGGGAGGGTTTATGCTATAT